TAAAGTGCAATCGCTTTGTAATGTATCGCTTTTTATCGTTTGTCTTGGATCCTCAAAACGATAACAAATGCCATTAGCTTGTTTGATAGCTTCTTTATGGTATCTATTGCCTATATGTAGTTTTTCTCTAAAACATTGTGACATTCCTTATATCCACGGTTAACAAAAGCTCCCAAAGTTTTTTTTTATCCTGCTTTAGAAATAAAGTGTAGTATATGCAGCAGACTGCGTCTTCACTTTTGCTGTAGACAAATCAATAGATAATATCTATAATAGATAATATCTATATCTAGTTAATATCTATATCTAGTTAATATCAAACTAATCAAACTAATTATTATAAAAAGAAGATTAAAATAACTTTTTTACTTAAAATATCCAGCTAACGATTTGCATTTCTTTGCAGCATTTTGAAGCTCTTTTCTATCAGCTGCTCGTTTACTAATTTGGTTATGCATGTTAACTCGTTTGCTTTTAAAAGTGAATTAGTATTAGTAGAGAATTGTAATTACATTATGAACTTTGGAGAGACTATTTTTCATTTTTCATTTACAAAAGATTTCACAATGCAATGACTTGTAATGACGCCTTACGTTTGTGAAACAATAAAGTAAAAATTGTTTCATGAGAATGATTCATAAAAATCAAATAATTTTTATAAAAATTTTGATTGAATATTTTGACATCGAAAAGAGTCTAGAAATAATTTTTGGCGTCAAATTAAAAAAGGTACTTGGCATAAAAAGGTGGGTCGATCGCGCCCAACAAACCCCCCTCCTCAACGGTAAATTTAACACTGAAGGTAGTTTAATGGATAATTTATTGCAACCCAAGCAAAATTATACGTACTAAATTCGTATTTGCGCAAAATAATACGTAAGGTACGTAAACTTACGTCTATATGACGTATTAAATAGTACGTATCTTTTAATCCGTATGTTTACGTATTAATACGAATTTAAACTAAGAAATAATATCCTAAGGCTAAAATACGTATTTTTACGTATTTTAAAACACTTACACAAAATTTATTTGCGGTTAAAAATGCTAGCTAAACATTTCTACGGTCTCTTTTTATAAATAAGATAAATGACTCGAGGCGTATGATTTTTTTTCAGCAATTACCACTATATTATATCAGTTATATATACTAATATATACAGTGATAGGTATACAATATCATAGAGTATTTAATCAAATAATATTTAATTTTTATTAATTTAATTTAACATTTAACTTGAATATTTAATATTTTAAATTAATATTTAATTTTTAAGGCAATTTTTAATAAAAAACAAACAATGTCATTAGAGATTTTGATAAAGTTCAACTAGTTATATTACGTAGAGTTATAATTTAAATTTTCATCATTATAATAATTAAAATAGTATTATATGATATATAGGGTAAAGAAAGGTAATAAGATCAGCGGGGCAGTAGGATCTAATAGCTATATAATATATACTATATTATGTAGTATATATTATATAGATATAAGATATATTATTTATATATATATATATATATATATATATATATATATATATATATATATATATATATATATATATATATATATATATATTACCAGTAATATAATTATTATATATAGTTTTAAGAAAATTAAAATATGAAAAATTAAAAAAAGTCAGTATTATATTAAATATAATACTGACTTTTTTTAATTTTTCATATTTTAATTTTCTTAAAACTTAATAATAATAAGCATTGAATGTGAATAATATCCTTAATTGAAGAAAACAGCCAACATATTTACACCATATTTTACACTCTGTATGTGTAACTACATATATTTGTATCATATACATAATGTTTACATATGTATGTATGTATCTATGTGCCTTTAGGATAAATAACACCCGGATATATATGTATATGTATATATATATATATATATATATATATATATATATATATATATATATATATATATATATATATATATATAGAGAGAGAGAGAGAGAGAGAGAGAGAGAGAGAGATTAGGGCTGGCATTGTCCCTGTTTTTACCAAGGAGTATCTTTTTCTGGATATTCCTGGAATTCCCGATATTTTTCTCAACTCTTAGTTCATCCGGATATCTTTAAAGTTTTAAATACCTAAAAGTTTAAGTATATATTTGTGTAATATATTTAATTTATAAGTTTTTTTAGTAATTACTCATACAAAAATTAGGAAAAGTTTCCAAACATTTGAGAAACAACTCAGCTGAAATCAAAATTAGGAAGAAAATAAGGGAAAAAATATACTTGATATTTTACGAAAAGTATTTTTTGGATTTTTCTAATATATCCAGGATGATCTATGTTTTATGTATGAGAGCGCAGTGAAAAAATTATTTTTAATAGATTTGGCGCTGCACTATCCTACGTAAATATCGGGAAAATGTCAATCCTTTTTTTTGTTTTATTTGCAGATTTTTATTTTACTATAATTCTATATCAAATGTCTTCCTCAAGAAATAAACGTAGAAAAGTTGCCATTGCAGTTAGTAATTTCTTGAATATCACAAATGGTTTGTTTTATCATAAATTTTATGTTTTTACAGAATCATTTTTATTTATCAATTATAATATTTACATTAGTCATTGCCTATGTTGTTTATATTAATTTTTACATTATATATTCTGTTTGGTTTGTTAAGTTATGATTTGAATTATTGTTTAACTTTAATTTTAGAATATCAAGATGATAATGTCCATTTGGAGAAATCCAAAAACTTAAACGACCATTCTGATTGTTCTGATTTTGAACCTGTTTCAGATACTTCACTGCATGAAGAATGTAATGGAGATGAATCTCCATTACATTCTTCATGCAATGAAGTATCTACCAGCAGTGATTCTGGTGGCGAAAATCCAAGTGAATTTGAGTTGCAAATTAAGTTACGTGATTATGCGATTGAAAACAATATACCTTATGCAACAATGGACAAATTGTTATGTATTTTAAAACCTTATCATACTCAATTACCAAAGTGTTCAAAAACATTATTAAATTCAAAACCTGTAACAATTAGAATTGTGACTAATGGTGAATTTTTATATATTGGTGTTGAACCTTTTCTTCAAACATTGAGTGTGTCTAACCCATCGATTATCTGTTTGCAATTTAATATTGATGGTGTTCCAATCTATCACAATTCTGAAATATCATTTTGGCCAATTCTGGTAAAAAAAGTTAACGATTCATTGTCACCAAAAGTTGTTGCTATTTTTAGTGGAAGGAAAAAACCAAATTTACAAGAGTTTTTTTCCCAATTTATTACTGAGATAAATCATCTTAAAAGCAATGGTGTTACAATTAACTCACACTTGTGCAATATTCATATAACTAATATTGTATGTGATGCCCCTGCACGTGCATTTATTAAGTGCATAAAGTATCATTCAGGATATTCCAGCTGTGACAAGTGCACTGTAGAGGGTGAATGGCTAAACAAGGTTGTATTTTTAGAAACAGATGCACCCTTGAGAACATTAGAAAGTTTTGTTTCTAGAGAAGATGATAGTCATCATATTGGTGTGACACCTTTATTAGGAATTCCTATTCATCCAATTAATAGTTTTCCAAATGACTATATGCATTCTGTCTGTCTGGGGGTAGTACGAAAACTTCTAAATTTTTGGTCTTCTGGACCATTCAGTGTTAAGCTATCTTCGCAATCACTAAAAACAATATCAGCTCGATTAATTCATGTTTCATTGTTCTTTCCATCAGATTTTAACAGAAGACCTCGTTCATTGGAGAGTATGAATAAATGGAAGGCAACAGAATTCCGATCATTTCTCCTTTATTCAGGGCCTATTGTTTTGTGTGATATTCTTAGTAAACCAGTTTATGAACATTTTCTTATTTTACATAGTTCCATATTTCTATTATGTAGGTCACAAGAGCATGAAGTTATTAAATATTGTGGTGAGTTGCTGAAAATATTTGTTACAAAGGCTGTTGCCTTGTATGGCAAATCATTTATGTCATATAATGTGCATTCTCTTATACATCTGCATAATGATTGTTTACAATTTGGACCGCTTGGCAATTTTTGTGCTTTCCCCTTTGAAAATGCTCTTGGTCATTTAAAAAGAAGAATTCGAAGTGGATATTTGCCGCTTCAGCAAGTAGCTTCTAGTCTTTCTGATAACAAATCTGAACATTCTAGGAAAGTACACACTGATGGAGTTTCCCTTTAACATTGTAGTGGGCCTTTACCAAATCAGGGCCATTTTTTGCAATATAAAGTGTGCCATTACAAAAATCAAAGGTTTTCAAGCGGTTTGCGGGATAGTTCAGTAATGGTAGGACAAAAGTGCTATCAAATAGTTAACATCTTAGCAGAAGACTTAAAAAATCCATTATTCTTAGCCAGGTGTTTTACTGTGCAAACAAACTTTTATGACGTTCCACTTGCAAGTTCGAAACTATCTATTTTTAAAGTTAGTTGTCTTAGTGACACTTTGCATACAATTCCGTTTTCTGATATTGTTATTAAATGTTGTTGTCTCCCATATTCTTCTTCCTTTGTTGTAATCCCATTATCAGAGATTTGAGTTCTTATTATATTTTAGAGTTCTATATATTTTTTCAAATAAGATAATAAATTTATATTATACAGTATTTGTAATTTGTTCCATGTTTATTTATGGTATACAACATGTATTTCATTTTGTTATATCTATTTATACATTTCTTACAATTGCTTTAATTTATTTGGGCAGCTTTTTAAATATATAGTGTAAAATTATGAACTACATTTACACATTTTATTATTTCTTTGTTTTGAAGTTTAAATTTGCAGAATGTTAGTTCTTGAAGTATCTTTGAACGTTGTTTAGCAGGATGTAATTGTATTACTCTTATATGGTAAATAATAGGTAAATAATAATAGGTCTTATATGGTAATTAACTATTTTTTTTTTCTTTATTTAAATTAAGCAAATTTTTTTTTTTTAATATTTTGTATTTGAAATTTTTTTTATAACAGATGTCTTATTCAGTAGTTATTTTTAATATTGATAATGAAGTGGCAACAGTGTCCAGTAAATGGTTTAAAGATTCAGGATGCGTTTTGTGGCCCAACTGTAGAGTAGGGAAGAAATTGCAAAACATGTTACTAAACCATGAAGAGCCAGGTGCTGACTGGATTTCTTATGAAGTACGAGTGTTGTCCAGTAACATCTGTAGGTATTTTTACTGAGAGTAAGCATTTCAACTGACTAAAGGAGACATGTTTTCTTAACTTTTTAATTATGAAACAGTTTAATTTAATATCTTTATAATTTTATTTTTGTAGTAACTCTCAAATCAGCAAGGGCAAAGGAGCGACTAGCTGAGGAAAATTCTGATCTTAGTTCAGCTGAAGATGGTAGCAGAATTATATATGCCCCTAGCAGATTTAACAGTCAAGAATATTGTCAACCACCATCCAAAATCAGCAAATTAACTTCAAATAGCCATACCACTTCCTATTTAAACAACCCCTTGATTCCTCATGCACCATCACTAGTTTCTAATCCATCTTTAATTCAAACTTCAGCATCGTTTTCTAGTAAGCTAAATGTTTAATTTTGTTCAACAAGAACAGGCTTGTTGACTGATTAATCATTTAATGATCTTAATAACCATTTTTTGTATCTGCATATAGCATTTTTTATATCTGCATATAAGAATATGTTAGATTTGTATAACTTTTATGTAGCTAGTCAATACTGAAAAAAAAAATTTTTTTAGATGATGATCATAGCATATTTAATACGCAAGAGTTTTTACGACCCTTAGCCAAAAATAGAAAATTTAATTCTAACTGCCAAACCACTTCATCTAATAACTATCCTTCATTTCCAGATAAATCAGCACTAGTTCCTGATTTTTCAATTTCAAACTCTGTTCAAACTCCAACACCAATCTCTAGTGAGTTACTTAATTTTATTCTGTTGAAGATTATTCTTTAAAATATATTGAGCAATGGCTTTTTGCTACAATTCCTTATTATACTGAAGATGTTTTTGATTATCAAAATATTTTTGTTTTATGGCTTGTTTTATAACATAAGACAGTTTAATCTTTTATTATCGTTAATCATAATCTTAAATTAGTTCTCGTAAATCATAATAAGTAAAATCAAATATTTTACATTATATAATACAAACTATTTCTCCATCTGCATTTACCGGTTAAGGAATGGTGTTATAATTTGCTCTGGATCTGTTGTTATGTTACCAGAAAGTTTTTATTATTTTTTAGCTAATGTTCCTTGTGCACATCATTGTACGCATGTTGTTACGTGGTTTGAGAAATTATTTAAAGAAATACAACAAATGCGTGCAGAACAGACTGTGATAAATCATCGTTTAGATCAACAATGTCAAAATGAGCATCAGCATGTAGATAGCAATTTTTTGAATTGTCTTCCACTTGAGAGTGAAGTTGATTTTGAACGATTCGGTATAGAGATAGATAGTGACAATGGAAAACGAACTTCTTTGGTAAGTAAACTTTTGTGATGTTTCTGTTAGGTATTCTATGGGTAAAATATTTGAAGGCATTTAATTTGGGTTGTTTGAGCAAATTTGTCTATGTTATTTATATAAATATATAAAATTGTTTTTTTAAAGTTTATGTAAACCAAAATGTACAGCATAAAATGGATATTTTCTAATTGTTGTTCCTGTTTAGATACGTTATTTGCGGAAGAGGTCAGACTCAAATGTCAACAAGACCATACTAAATATATTAAGAAGTTTATTAAAGGACAATGTTCTTAGTTGTTATTCTAGAGATAGGAAACGCGGAAAAAAAAGTTTTTCTTCAGCAAAGGGAAACTTTGTTTCCATAATTCAAGGTCAATATATTTAATATATATGAAAATTACAAGTATTACTATGTATAAATTATATATTATCTTATTTATAGTTATATATTACCCTAAATGAATCATTAAATGTATATATATATATATATATATATATATATATATATATATATATATATATATATATATATATATATATATATATATATATATACAGTTATGGCCATTGAAATCCGACCACCAGTATCATTTTACTTAAAACTAGTTTAATGTAGTAATAAACAATTGTATTATAGCAATAAAAGAATAACAGTAGCAATTAATGATTATAATGTAACATATCGTACATATTTAATGTTTATATTAATGTTTTTTACTCTCAGGTTCTTTGAATTTAATATTTAGTGGCACCACCATGTGCTTTTAAGACTGCATTAATGCGATCTGGCATTGAATCCACGAGAGCCTAACAATATTCTGGTGTTATTTCAGTAATCCAAACTTGACGAATTTTGTGCGCTAGATTGTCCAGTGATGTAGGATTAGTTCTGGATACTGCTGACTTTAACTTGATTGATTGATTAACTGCTGACTTTAATGCGATCCTATCATGGATGTTCTTTAAAGACAGTCGCGGTTTGAGGGCTGGACGACGAGAACGTAGGCCTACATCTTTCAATAAACGTCTTCTTATTGTTCAAGTGCTGACTGTAACGTCATTAGGTAGATCTGCCCTGATTTGTGTGCTGGATATTGTTTGATCTCTCACAGCAGCCCTGCGTATCTTATTGTCTGTTTGTTTGCTAGTAATTCTAGCTTTACCAAAACGTTTTCTGGGCGCAGTGGATCCTGTGTCTTTGATTAGTTGTATAATATCATGAACAGTTGATTTTGGCATTCGATATCTTGCATATATCTGATGCTCACTTGCACCATCCTCCCATAAAAGTTTAATATTAGCACGAACACCTTTCTTCGTAGTCATAATTAAATTGTGACAGTTAAATGATAATCCATACCCTACAATGAGATATATAGCTTAATAAATTTTACAGTGCAATAAAATAAACACTAATGTGATTGTCTAAAAGCTAATTAACTAATCATTAATAACAGGGAAGAAAATAAATTGATTATTCGAGTGCATAGACTGTTTTTCTTTATATTCAGCAGTGGTCGGATTTCAATGGCCATAACTGTATATATATATAAACATATAATAATTTTTTGAGACCCTATTTAATGTCTTTTGAATGTGATTAGTCAAAAAATTTAATACATTTAATTTAGATGTTGTTTTGAAAGTTCATAAAGGTGTGTCGTTGGTCCAAATAAATGTTGCGATTTCGGAACAATTAAAGAGACTCAATCAAAGAAATCGAAATTCTAAGTCTACAACAGCTGAAGAAACTACACCTGAAATTCCAGAGTTTGATTAAAAACCAATTATTTTATTAATTTTAAAATAAATTGTTAAAATATAAAGTCTTTTTTATTGTTGAGAAGACTTATAAGTTTGAAAGATCCTGCTTACACACTTTGGTTAGCAAAGTCATAGTCATGTTACTTATTTAGGGATAGGCGAGGGCTTCAGTACATACACTGACTGATTTAGGGAGAACTCGCAAGTGAGTTAAAAACACATCCATTTTATTTATTATTTATTTTATTTTTTTGAAGAAGGTCAGGTTTTGATTATTGATGAAAAAAATTTTTTGTTTTATGACATGTTTTAATAAAACATGTCATATAACAAAACAGTTAAATTTTTGTTCATTAAAATCGACAATTATCTTCATTTTATATTTAACATAATAAATATTTTAAATATAAAATATAACATTTTATTCTTTCATTTACAGGTGGGTAAAGTTTTTGTTTTATTTTGAAACGAGAACATCATTTGCTCTGCAGCTGACGTTCTTGTTTTAACAAAAAATGTGCTATTTTTTTGATAATGTTCCTTATTAACATCATTGTAACAGTTGTTTTTTGCACGGTTATTTAGGTTGCTTGCTTAATTTCATTAAATAATTTATGTTATTATGGCTGCAAAATTATTTAGAAAAATACAGCAAATGCTGGAAGCTAGAACAGGAAGTTATAAATCAGCATCTTGATGGTAAAATGAAAATCAACAACTAGTAGCACTTCTTTGAATTGTCTTTAAATTAGAGTAATGTTAATTTTGATTGGTATGGAGATAGATGCATACAATGGAAAACGAACTGCTGTTATGTGAGTTTTTATAAATTTTAGTCTTTCTGAGAGCCTAATTAAAAAAAAGATACTCAACTTGGTTTGTTTGGAACAATTTTGGTTATATGGTATAAAAACTTAAAAAATTAGTTTAATGACTAAACAGCTTTAAAAATAATCTTTTACTACAAATAATGAACAGACACTAAACAAAGTTATATACTTAATTGTAGGTAGTATGTTCAGCTGTACATAGTATGTTTTTGTAATTTTTCTTTATATCTAGATTTTTGGAAGATGTTAAACAACAAGATGTAATTCGAGGTAAAAATATTTAGTATATGATATTTTTTATTTACTTAGATATGTGTGTGTATTTGACATATTTTTGCCACACAAAACATATTTTTTGTGGGGAAGTAATATATGTTTGGGAGGAGAACATTCTTGAGACACTGTAAAAGTATTTTAAATAGTATTGCTTATTTTTGTTGTTGGTACATTCAGATACTGTTTAGTATGTTTTTTAGAAACTATTTGTACGTTTAGATATTGTTTCTAAAATTCTTAAAGACGTGTTATTCGTTCAAGTAAACGATGCTGTTAAAGCAGGTTGTCTGAGCAGTTAAAGAAACTTAATCAAATGATTCAAAATTCTCTTCTTTAAGCAGCCGAAGCAACGATACTCGAAATGGCTGGAATGGATAATTAACAAAGTAATAAATAAACTTTGAAATAAAGTTTAAAAATAAAAAATGTCTTGTTTATGTATATTGTATTATATATGGCTTATAAATTTAATTGCCGAAGTTACATAAATAATACTAAAAAAAATTCTATAAAGATAAGTATTTAAAACAACCTATCAGCGGCCAATAGTACCGTAAAAAATACGAAAAAAAAATACGTATTAATACGTTCAATAGATACGTATTTAAAACACCCAATCAGCGGCCAAAAGTACCGTAAATAATACGAAAAAAAAATACGAAAAAATACGTATTAATACGTTTAAAAGATACGTATTTAAAACACCTAAATAGCGGCCAAAAGTACCGTAAATAATACGAAAAAATACGTATTAAATACGTATAATTTTGTTTGGGAACGGAGTCATTGAAAAATATTGATTAGAATGTGATTTTTTTTTTTTTTAAAGTTTTTTAAGTGGTTTTTTTAATTAGAAGCAAGTTGGTGTCTTCCGCAAAGTGATAAGAAGTAGAAAATTTAAGCGAAACATTTAAATCGTTGATAACAATAAGAAAAATAAATGGCCCTAAGCTAAGCCTTGTAGAGCACCATTAAAAGATTTGGCTAGTTCTGATACCATTAATTGAAACAAATTGTGTCTTATTACAAAGATAAAAAAAAAAACAGAGAAAAGGATTACCCTTAATACAGTTTCTGAAGTATTGTTTAGGAGAATTATATTCTCCACTGTATCAAATGCTTTTCTTATGCCAATAAACACTCCACACGTAAAGTGTTTGTTGTTAAGGACTTGTCTAATTTTCTCTATTATTTCAATTAATTAATGGTAAGAGTTCTGACTGGAAATCAGTAGTTTGAAGCCGGCTCTGGCCATATGTGCCACATTTGTAACGAATGAGCATGGGCATTCTTAGCTAAATGCTATTCCACGGTGTTCTATGACAAAACCTAAGGACTTTTTAGAGCACTAAACAAAATTAAAAAAAATTCTGGTGTCAATTTATTTGACCTCTGTACCTTATGTATGTCTTAACAGATTTGTATGGAAATAATAAATTTTAGATAACGAAATTATCTAATAGAAAATTTCAAAAACGGTCGTTTTTGAAAAATTTCTCAAAATGGTCGGCAAAACTTATGCAAAATTAAAAATTATTTAAAATCTATTCCTACATAAACTAAAAAAGAATTCCTTTATCTCTAAACATTTCCACATAATCTCTTTATCTCTAGATTATTATATGCTACAAGTGCATCAAACAAAACAAAACAAATTGCTTTAAAAATTTAAAATAAATTTTTATCTAATACAAAAGTTACCAGAGCTAGAGCCAGTGTTGGCGAATTGCGTTTATCTTCAGAGACTTATATGAGAAAGTGTCAAAAAAATAAAAGAAAAAATCCTTTTTTTTTTTTTATTGTTTATTTTGCCGTTTAAATAATATACAGTTTCAAAGCATATAAATAAAAATAAATATTCGCGGGGCAAGAAGAAGACTTATTTAGCCTTATCACCGAGCCCCATTCTCACGTATTTACAAAAACCGTAATATTTAAATATCTATAGTTAACAAACTATTTATTAAAAAAAGAAAAATATAAAAGTAATAGATAAAAATTCGTTGTCATTTAAAGAAAAAATAAAAAGAATCAATAAAAAGAATCAAAATTTAAAGAAAGAGTAAGATCAAGTGAAAATAAATAAATAAATAAATAAGATTTTATCATTTGCTTAAAACTTAAAAGTTTAAACTAAGATTTAAAAATAAAAAGTGAAAAAAAAAAAAAAAAAAAAAAAAAAAGTATACCATAGAAATAACAAAAATAAATTAGTATACTTCATAGAAATAACGTAAATAAATTAGAAAACGCCATAGAGGTAATACCATAATTAAGGTAATGAAAAAATAATATTGATACACTCAGTGACATAATTTTTGTATTAATAATTTTTTGTATTTGAGTTTTAGTTAAAAAAAACATTGGACAAGAACATAAATTTTAGAACATCGCTTCCTTTTTATTTTACAATTGAAAATAGAACCGTTTGAAAAAAAAATTATTTTAAAGAACCTCGTAGCAATTGGTTAATATTTACATTTACAATCTGCTTTTATTTCAATAGTTTTTCAGAATATACATATTGTTTTTTTTCTCAGGATCTATAGAGTGTTTATTGAAAAAAAGGCATTTGTTTGAGTGTTTAGGAAAAAATAGCCGTTTGTTTGAGTGTTTAGGAAAAAAAGCAAAATGTTCCTGGGGCTAGTTGACTTAAAGTTTGCTTTTTTAATAAGTTATTAAAATGCTCTAAAAAGACCTATCGGTCTTATCCCACAGCACCGCGGAGGAGAATTCAACAAGAAAGTTTACGCCTTCTTCCTTATTTGTATCGTCGTTAATTGGGTTAGAGCTGGCATCAAAGCACAAACCTCTTGGTTCTGAGAAAGAACTCTAACCTCTGCGCCACGGCTGCTTGCAACCTCTTCACCACGGCTGCTTGCAACTTCTGCACTACGACTGCTTGTATGCTTGTAACCTCTGCACCACCGCTGCTTGCCACCTCTGCACCATGGCTGCTTGCAACCTCTGCACCACGGCTGTTTGCAACCTCTGCCCCACGGCTGCTTAAACTAAAAATTTAATATTTCTTTATTAAGTATACTTATTAAGTATACTCTATTCAAGTAAGTTTTTAAGCAAACATTTTTGATTTTTTTTGAGTGCCAGAAAGGCCTCAAAAAATTTTTTTTATAATAAATGCAAATTGAAAATGTTACCATACTTTTAAAGACTTATTTATAACAAAAAAAAGTACCGTTAGGGTACAGAGCTCAAAGAGTACATTCTGTACATTTTTTTGAAAAAATATTTTCACTGCTTAAATTTTTTTCCCATTGAACATATAGTTAACTAATAAAGCAAAGTATGGTCAAATACTATAAAAAAATTTATTACTAGGTTTATTACTAACATGAAATTATGCTTTAAAAAAACAGCTGCATAAACAGGATAAAATTTGATAAAATATAGTTTATTATCGTCCAAGTTCTTTGCTCTCTGGTTTTTCAAAGATTTTTAAAACAATTCTTTACAATCAAATATATGATCATTACAAATTACTCTTGGAGCTTTTATTGATCTATCAAAAGTCCTCAATGCAATAGATCGTGAGGTTCTTTTAAAACTAAAAACTATGCAATTAGTCGTAATTTTCAAAAATTACCTAAAAGCTATCGATTTGGACAAGCTGATTATGCTTGCTTACGTAAACAGTTAGTGCAAACTGATGTATCCTCCTCAACAAAATTTTTAAATATAACATGATAGAGCAGCCGTCGCAGTGGTTTGAGTTCTGATTCAGAAAGCAACATTGGTAGGGAAGAAGGCGTAAATTTCCTAGTTAAATGCTCTTTCGTGGTGCTCTGTGATTAGACTGTAAGGTTTTCTGAGAACACTTTAACAACTACAAAAAAAAAAAAAAAAAAAAAAAAAAAAAAAAAAAAAAAAAACATGTGGTGTTCTCCAAGATTCGATACTAAAACCACTCCTTTTTTTATTTCTATTAATATTCTTTATGATGCCGCAAAATTAAATTATTGACAGTACTGTTGGCTGATGACTGATGACAAACTTTCTTCATTGTGATAATAATATCACAACACAAATTTCATGACATGAAGATGGAGCTAATTAAAATTTCAAATTGGTTTAAGTCAAACCAATCAATTAACATGGCTAAATTCTATTTCATTAAAAACTAAATGGGTTCTACTTCAGCCAAAATCCCAAAAATTATTTTTTGCTAAATGAATACCAATAATATTGACGATATTTAAATTAAATAATCAAAAGTTATACATTTGATTTTTTTATTGCTAAAAAATCTCACATGGAAAAACCATATCGAAACTTTGTGCAACAAAATTAAAAAAAAATATTGGAATAATATACTAAGCAATAAATTTTGTAAATAAACAAGCATTAATTTAACTTTATTACTCACTTATCCTTTATTACACTTATAAAGTCAAATACGATCTAAGAAATAATGTTATTCATTAACGATATTTACAAACAAAATTTTGAAGATTTCTTTCATATTGCGGAAATTTTCTTTAAAACCAAATAGTATCAAAAAATTTTCATTCTTCTTAAATTTTTTCATTTTTTTTTTTAAAGTTGGAATTTTCCTGCTTTCAAAAATAAACTGAAAGAAGATCTTTTATTAAAAGATAATTCAAGTTCTTTTAATCCTATATTACAATTACTTTTTAAATGTAATATATAAAAATATATTTGATTTTGTTTTTATTGCGTTGTTAAATATTTTATATTTAAAATGCTTGGATATATTTGTATTGTATCGTTAAACGGTATTTTATTTTTGAAATGCGTCTTCTAACGGTATTTTATTTTTGAATTACTTGGTTATATATTTATTGCATTGTAAAACGGTTCTCGGTGACAATCCTCTTCGAGTTTCCGTATTCTTATATTTTAAGTGCAACAATACATAAAATATAAAAAACATGGAAGGTAATCTTTTAAGGCAACTAATCACAAACATTTTATTAAATTTCAATGATCAATGCAAAACTAAAACTAAAATTATGAAACTAAAATAAAACTCTTACATATGCGAGTACCATCTCCTACACATCCTAATATGTATAATATATATATATATATATATATATATATATATATATATATATATATATATATATATATATATATATATATATATATATATATATATATATACACATCCTAATATGTGTTATATATATATATATATATATATATATATATATATATATATATATATATATATACACATCCTAATATGTATTTTATATATATATATATATATATATATATATATATATATTATACATATTAGGATGTGTAGGAGATGGTACTCGCATATGTAAGAGTTTTATTTTAGTTTCATAATTTTAGTTTTAGTTTTGCATTGATCATTGAAATTTAATAAAATGTTTGTGATTAGTTGCCTTAAAAGATTACCTTCCATGTTTTTTATA